AATTCTGAGAGTTGAAGTCCACAAGTCTTAAAGTTGCCAAGTTTGGAAACCCCTGCTGTGGATCAAAGTCTTATTCCAGCAACCCCTCCTAATATTCTGTATAAAATGGCCCATGAAATCACTGGATCATTTCCTGTGAAAAATACACAGGGTCAAACTCTCAGCACTATTTTTATTTAGCAAGAAATGCAAGGTACCACAGTTTTAAGGAGAGAGGATATTCCTATTCAGATGTCTGCATCAGAGTTTGGTACAGATAATCTTCAACTTACAACCATTGATTTAGTGACTGTTCAAAGTTACAACAGTGTGAAAAAAGTGACATACGGATGTTTTTCATGCTTACAACCCTTGCAGCATCCCTGTGGCCACATGATCAAAATTCAGATGCTTGGCAACTGACTCGTATTTTTGACGGCTGCAGTGTCCCAGGGTCATGTGATTCCCCTTTTGCAACCTTCTGACAACAAAAGTCAATGGGGAAGCCAGATTCTGTGACTAACTTAACAACTGCAATGATTCACTTAACAAGTGTGGCCAGAAAGGTTGTAAAATGGGGCAAAACTCACTTAACAACTTGTCTTGCTTAGCAACATAAATTTTGGGCTTAATTGTGGTCGTAAGTGGAGGACTACCTGTACATGACAAGACGGTTACCTCAGCATGATTCCTCCTAGGCGGATGGCTCGCTTCCAGTCCTTCAGGGTGGACTTGCCAGCCAGGTGAACAAAGTGCTTGGGGCTGATAAGCTGGTCATTGAACTATCAAAAGAGGAAGGGAACCATTTATTTTTCTCATGGAAAGGATATAATGCAACCGTTCAGTCTTCAAGGCAGCACCCATTATTCATGTCATCAAGACACACACTAGGACTTCGTTAATACAACCTGGGCTTTGTGATTCCCGGCTGACACTGTGCAATATGTAGAACTGTTTGGGGATAAAAATGAGGTGGATAAGCAGGAAAGTTTTGCCCATCCAATTATATATTGCAGAATGGGACTCTCACGAGAAAAACATCTATTATGGCAGACATGACCCAACATTTTTCCTACAGTGGTGTCCAAGTCCTTGTGGCAGGGGGAGGGGTGTCTCCTTGCAGGAATGAAATAAAGACATTGCCTTCAGCCCTGCCACCTAAATAGTTTATTGCTAAGCGTTTTAGTGAACCTAATACTCCTGTGCCTATCCAGTGGAAAGCGGGACATTTTTCAAAGGAAAAGAATGCTGTCAAAAACCCAGTAACACCGAACGAAGAGAAGCGAGCTGGCAAAGCCACTTTCGCCGTGCTATTTACCTTAACACATTTGACATTGATTCCTGGGCACACAAATTTCTTCCAGAGCAAGATGGCCTTGCTATCTCCACAGGTAATGGGGTAGGCAATCTCAATTTCCTCATTGCTTTCAAGGGCACTGGCATCTACAAATGGAAATATAAGGGAGACATTTGAGAGGCATGCAGAGATCTCCGTGCTGATTCATCTCACCATAAGTGTGTCCAGCCATGGCAATTTTAAGACCCGTGGACTTCAATACTCAGAATTCCCCAGCTAGCCTAGCCAGCATCCCCCATGGCTGGCTTCTGGGAGTTGAAGTCCACAAGTCTTAAAAGTTGCCAAGATTGGACACCTCGATCTAACCCAAAGACTGAAAAGGACTTTAAAAATCTCAAGCATTTTCTCATCCTATATATTTTAAACTGGAGATTCCAAGTCTGAACATACATTCTAAGCCATCACTTCTTTATACACTGGTAAAATTATACAATTTGTTTCACCTTTACAACTTATGATGGATCCATAAATAATGTACTCTATAGTATTTAGGCAAGCATCAAAGTACAGTTGCATAGCAGTTAGAAGAGTTCAGAGTATAAAAGGAAGACAATTGGATTCATTGTTGTCCTTGTTGCCATTAACAAGGCAGGGTTTTCTTGTGGACTGGGTTAATCTTTAGTAATACATGGTCCGATTTGTTTAACTCAGCCATAAATCATGATATACTATTCACAACTCAGCCATAAATCACGGGATGTAAGTGGTTAAACTCCCATAATACACCAAGCCAAAATTAAACTACAATGTAAGAGCAAAGTACTAGCTTCTACCTAGAAAATATTTTTGGGGAAAATACAATTCTTTGGGATACTATCCTCACATTTTCACACTCTTGAATGTCCAATATAATATGCAAATTTCCAGTTATTCTGAAGATAGGAAATGAAATTTGGACAGTAGTCTGACAAGAACTACCTTGTGGCTGTAGTTGAGTTTCAGAAATGTGAACCTTTAGACAACACAGGAAGAGACAATGAAAGAAAGCTCCCGAGGCCTCTTAGCTCAAGGACTCTTTTTTCAAGGATTCTAGCTTTTTGCAGTGCTACAGGCTTTGTTCCACCTTATGCAAATATGTGGAAAGATTAGTATTTCCCTTGCTTGTATGGAGTGGGGGGAAAGCCATCATCCATGCAAATAACTATTGCAGAAACTGTTATGCTTCAGATCAGCCCATTTTTGCTTTTGCTGAGCAAAGTTTTGGTTTGCAAGAAAGACAGTGGACATATTGTTTCTTCTTCAGTGTTGTCCTCCCAATATGAACCCAGGGATGTACAATGGATGATAAAGAGGCAGTGACTGCATTAAAGCCATTCAGTGCATCTGAGTTCATTGTGTCTTCCTGCTTCTGCTTCAGTGCACTAACCACTGCACATCAGTGGTGGGATTCAAATATTGTTGCCACTGGCTCGGTGGGCGTGGCTTGGTGGGCGCATTTTGCATGCGTGCACACACTTTGTGTGCACGCGCATGCTAAACGCGCACTTTGTGCAGGCGGAGAGTCATCTGCGCAGGCACAGAGGTGTTCTAACTCACCTCCTGCAAGCCTGCACAATCCCAATTGCTTCAGCAGCTGCCACGGGGTGCTATTCTGTGCCGCGCAAAGCAGCTACACTTCAAATTCAACGGATAAAGGTGAGTATGGGAGCCCAGGTGGACAGGTGGGCCCAACAGCAGAGCCAGCAGAGATAACTGGTTTGGTCTCCGCTGCTCATCACTCCTACCGGCTCTCCAGAACTGGGCAGAACCGGTCGAATACCACCACTGCTACACATGCTGCCTGCAGGCTTCATCCAAAGCACCCCTATTATGCTGCAATACAGTTGAGCTAAACATGAAACTGATGCATCATTACCACTGAGAACTCACCGATGCCATCTTCAAGTTTGTGTATGGTATGCGTTTCTACGGCCATCACGGCCGCATTAGTTTCAGAGCCCTCTTGATAAATTCTGCTGTAAAAATGGCACACAAAAGTACACAAAAGATGTAGTCATTTGAAAACTAGTAACATGAAAGAACATCACATCCCCCACATCAATCTGTGTGCCCCTGGCATCAGAAGGGGTAACACTTATTTATGGGATTTTCCATTAATAATTCCATATTTATGGAATTTGGCACTTTTCAACAGCAACCCCAAATCTTAATTTTAATACTTCATCTTTTGGTTATTCTACTGCTGTCGGTTTATATAGCAATAATTTCTTGTTAGACCTATCAATATTAGTTTGATGTATTTGACTTATTAATATTATGCAAGTTTCCCTGCAAAATAGTTTATTTTGGATTATATAAACATTTATATAAAAAGTAATATTCATATCATAGCAGTATTTTCCCCCCCACCAATTTCATAAGGGACACTGTAATTTTTATCTCCAAGGAAGGTTAATATCATGAGAAGCAAGTTCTCTTGCTGTAGCTGAAAGGACTCAAGTCTATATACAAGAAAGGAAATTGTTATTAAACAATCAAACTTGTTTTGATACAATGTGCTTCATAGTGGAATGAACTGACTGGGGGGCTGACCTCTTCTAATAAATGCTACACCAGCTGCGGGTTGGCCAAATTGTCCTTAACTTTATGGTTCTGTCCAGCCATAAAATCCAGCCATAAAATCCAACCATAAAATGATTGATGGAGAAGGCAAGTTCCTTCATATTTTTAAACATATCTAGAATCTCCCGATACCTCAAACTCTTGTTAAAATTCCATCTTCTGCAAAATTGCTAAATCGCAAGAATGTCATCTTTTTTTATGCCTGCATTCTCAATTCTCCTTGGAGCAGTCCTCTAAATCAGCAGTCAACAACTGGTGGTCCACGAGAAAATTTTGGTGGTCCGCAGAAAAATTATTTCCATTTTTTATATTGCACTAAATACTATTTATCTTTTTTTAAAAAATTGTATTAGTGGTCTACGGGATTTAAAATTGTGAATTTAGTGGTCCCTGAGGTCCAAAAGGTTGGTAAGCCCTGCTCTAAACCCTCAATTACTTGAAATTACTTGGGAATATTTTGTTTTGCTACTGGCATGTCACTCACCCTTGCTGCACCGGCTGTAGTTGTAATATAACCTGGGTTTTGGTATCTTCTGGGTTTCCCCCCTCCGTTCCTTCAGTTGGCACAACAACGACATCTCCTACAGGAATGCTTACTTCAGCATTTGCCATTTGTTCACATGAAGTCTGAGCGACGGGGTGACAAGTATGCTGTAGCAGACAATAAAAACCGAGGCAACCTTGATTTGGGAGTTGAGATTCGGCATCTCTAATTACACACAATTATTATATTCTATAATAGTAGGTCAAAATGGACCACATATGTGATAGAAACATCCTCAACACCTCAGGGGCTTCTCTTAATAGTCTTAACCTCTCCTTACAACCTGATTGTTCTCAGAATAATTGAGCAACCTACCTACCACTATTCCTTGGGAACTCAAAAGTGACTTTGCCTTGTTAGCTTTCTTGCAAAGTTTAAGAGGTTATTGTGACAGCAATTAAAGATGTACAGGCATTCCCTTTTCTCTATATTTGGGCTGCGCCTGCTATAGCAGAGGCATGAGCCATCTGAAAACAAAAGTGTATTCTTTTTTATAGAACTATTATTTTATAATGAAGTTGGATTCATTAGAAAGTGAAGGCTGCAGTCCTATATACAATTGGCTTAGACTATACCTAGTACAGCTGGTTTGTTTCTGAGTTCACAGGCAGTTTTGTTTTTGGGTCTTTTTTTAAACCAACCAATTAGGCTGAAACACTGAGCAGTGTCACTCAATAGCTAGAAAGTCACATTGCAATGATGGATGTGCTATCTATAGAGGGCTCAAAAATATGTAATGGGTGACTTGGATCTTGGTGGGAGGCATTTGCTGCTTTTTAAATAATTCAAGATTGTGGGAGTTGCATTTGCTTTCTCTTTGTTCCTTTGCCAGCAGAACAATGCCACAACCAAACCCCTTCCCACAATACATTGGTTGTAAACTAATGGCCAAAAGGACGCCCAAATGCAATTTTGGCTATTGGTTGCTCCCAAATCAGCAGATGAGCTGGGGAAGCAAGGATTTGTGGAATTTCCAGTAAGAATGGTCATACACGTGGTTCTTTGGAAATAAGAACTTTAACACAAAACCTCATTTCATAAGTGAAAATGTATCAGTTCCCTTGTTTTCAGATTCAAAATCATAGGCCATTGTTACTGCTGGATCAGATGATAGTCCAACAAATTCAGCTTCACACTACCAACCAGCCCCTCCTGCTGGCTGCAGAAAACTCATTAGTAATACACAAACGTAATTCAATTTCCTCCTCTCATTTTGCCTCACTCTCAGAGGATACCCAGAGAAATACATTGTGGTGGTGTTGAATCTGAAGGTTAGATATAATTCTAATGACCTTGCTAATAATCTTTCCTAGAAGTGTTCTAAACCCCTCTTAGTTGTCATTCTACTATACAACAACAATGAATTTTAAAAATTATTCAGTATGCGAAAATGTATTGTCTCTCTTAAAGGCAAGGTTGAAATGATTCAATTGGAGATTAATATATTATTTGTGTTTGAATAGTTCTTTAAAGACATGTCTGAATTCAGGATAAATTAAATGAATAACTGATCATTGGTTCAATGGTTATCAGCTAGTTATTTTATAGAGCAAATGCTATGTATCTTCATCAAATTCCCCTGGATGTTAATGGAATTTACTTCTACAAAAGCAGAAACATCACAACTTTTCTAATTTACTTTTAGGTAAGTCCAAATGAATTCAGTATTGTTTATACTTAGTCAAATCACAGCCATTATTTTAGATTAGTTGAAGCAGTGCCATAAATATTGGCAGGGCTACAACAGAAGGCTCAGAATGCCTTAGCTGCTTATTATTATGGGAAAACAAAAATTGAGGCAAACAAGAACACTATTTGCATCTTTATTATTATTTTGTAAATAAGGTTTAGCAGTTTTCTTCATGTGAAACAGTTGTCCAATCAACAATGGTATCCTTCCAATAATGGTGCCAGGTCATCAATTTTGTCATTTTAAAAAGCCACCCCCCCCCCCCAAAAAAACCTTTAACACTGAATAGAAAAAGGGTGATAGAAGAGGGATATTTAAGGAGCATTTCAGCTGTGATTTTTTTTTTTTTTGGAAAAGCATTGTTTTCCACGAATGCAATCCCAAACCCATCGTGTCACATTAGCATTGCCGTTAAAAAAAAGAGAGGAGATGGAATGCAGTTGCTTTTTATACAGAAATCAAGGCAGCCTTTTTGATCATAATTTGTCATTTATAAAAAAAAGGCCAATTCTTCGTAAGCCACTTTGATCTCGGCTATTCCAACAGGTTGTTTAAAGTCATTTATCCTACATCGAACTCCAGCCACCACCACTCTGTTGTCTAAAGCCATCTCAGTGAGTGTAATAAATCACAGGAAGATTTTGGGGAGCATGGCTCCTACTCTGATTATGTATTAAATTGAAGTCCTAATTTTGTCGTTTTAATTTTTGTTATGGATCCTACTTAAAACCGATGGGGGGGTTCTCCTTCAATCAATCAACCTGAATAGAGCTGGAAGGGGCTTTTGAGGTCTTCTAGTCCAGCCCCCCCCCCCCCCCCCGAAGTAAGAGGGCCCTATAGTATTTCATTTTCTCTTTTTTTGAGTTTTGACGGAGTTTAAGCAGTCCCGGGGACAGGAGCTTGATTAAACCCGGGACGATTTTGTCACTGAACGGGGATGGGCTTTTAACTCGGCCAGGGAAGGAACCTCCTCAACCCCCCCGGCCGCCTGAGGAGGAAGTCGAGGCTTTGGACCGAGAGGCTCGGGAAACCGCGAGTTCCAAGCCGTCCCTCAGAACCACGAGGATCAAAGGGGGCGAGTTCAACCGGTGAGGCAAGTTCCACGGGCGAAACTCGCTCCGCTCCCCCCACGCCCGGCGGTTCCAAGGCAGACCCGGCGGGGGCGGGAGAGCAAAGCGGCCCGCAGGTTGGTTTGTTTTTTTTTAAGCGCCTGGCCCGACTTCAACGCCCGAAGACTCCAACTGCCATCATCCCCAGCTCGCCCGGCCGCTGGGGATGATGAGAGGTGGTGGTGGCGGCGGCGGGAGGACGAACCGCCCCGCGCGGGCCGTCCGCGGACGGCTTTCCACACTGGCCACTGAGGGCGAGTTCGATCGCGGCCGCGCGGCTGAGGGGAAAGCCCGCCTCCCCCCGCGGGCCCCGCCCCCTCGCCTGCCCCGCGAGCCCCTCAGCCCTCCGTGGCCCCGCCCCTCTTCCCTCGCTCCAGGCCAGGCGCAGCCTCCTCCTCCTCCTTTCCCCCCCCCCCCCCCCCCCCCCCCCCCGCAGCGGCGCTGCGACGTCCGCTCTCCCGGCGGCGGCACGTACGGCGGGGTAGCGGCCGTGCGCTCACCCAACGCAACCCCCTCCCTCATCTCCACGCACTCTGCGTCCCGGCTCCCGTAGCGTTGCGGCAGCAAGAACGTCGCCCTGCGTTCCCTCCCCCCCGTTACCGTCTCCGAGCGGCCGAGTCCGGGCTGGGGGGGTTGGGAGGAAGGGAGGGAGCATGCGCAGCAGCTGCAGCGGCTCGCCTGCCAGGACTTCCGGCCGCCTCCTCTCTCTTAAAGGGACCGCGAGAGGCAGAACGGTTTTTGCGCTCCCGCGGCTGGGCGCGATGGGATGGCTTTTGGGGAGCCGGGGGAGTTTTGCAGTTTTGGGGCAGGCCGGTTTCTGGCCGAGCGAGGATCGGCTCTTCTCAGCGGTTCTGCCGACCCCCCAGAGTTGTTGTTGCTGCTGCTGTATTAATAGCATCTGTATGTTTTGCAATTATTGGATATATAGCAATAGCCCGTAGACTTATATACCGCTTTACAGCTCCTCCCTAAGCTGTTTACAGAGTCAGCCTATTGCCCCCTCTATAGTTAAATTGCTCAAAATAGGCAGTGGAATTGCGAGGCAACATGCTCAGAAATGCTCTCATTAATTAATTGCATGTACGGATCGTTAAGTTTCCCTTCTGCAGTTCATAGCACGCCCTTTTGCATTCTAATCCAAAAAAACGGTTTTCCGGCTGCAAATGTTTGCTGCCCGGGAAATTTCACACTTCTCCCTTCTAAAGCTACCAGAAATCCGGAGAGCTGCTAGATGGCAAGGCTAGAGATACAGAGAAGTTGCCTGCCAGTAACTGTCCTCTGAATATTTGCAGCCCTGATCCCATCACGCTACATTTTCATGTATTTGATGGAAACTCCTGCCAAATCCGGAAGGAGCCCCTTCTTGTGCAACTTTCAGCAAACGAATGTTATGCCCAGCTGATGGCGCCAGTAGCCTTCTGATTCCTGGCAGAGGCACGTTTGTCAACCTCTTTAAGATTATGTGGACTTCAACTCTCAGAATTCCCTAGTTGGGCTGGGGAATTCTGGGAGTTGAAGTCCACACATCTTAAAGGAACTAGGTTAACAAACGTTGGAACAGACTTAGGGCACAAAGCAAAAGGTTCGCTGTTATTAAGTCTCTCCAGTAACAAAACACCCCATTGTCTTCAATTTGCTTTTACACCCACGTTTTTATAGTTGTAATCCCCTAAGAGGTATTGACCTGCTCCACAGGGGGCATAATATAGTTTTGACTTCACCCAAAACCACCACCACACACAGACACACACAACGTTTCACACAAACTTTCTTCCTTTGGCTGATTCAGGCTAATAATTAAAGGGTCCATGATAATAATCAGCCAAAGAAGTGGATGGTAGGGTCTGAATGCTATATGCAGAGGTTTACCAGAAGTTGAAGAATGAAATAAACGGAGTGAATGTTGAGTGAAGAAACTCAAATTGGTTTGTAGTAGAAACATGCCTACAAATACATGTTTAGAATAGCAAAGCAAAAGTACTATAATCTATGACCTACCATAAAACCAAAAGTAATTAAAACAAGTCAACTGCTTTGAATACACAACAAAGCATGCAAACTATAAAGAAACTAAGCCTCTGATGAAATTAGTTAAGGTTGAACACCTCTGTTTAAACAGTGATAGAATAACTTTAATGTCACTTTGTACCCTAATCGGCACACATTAAAATGAAATTCCATCGCATGCAGCTCTCAAAGAGCCACCCCTTCCAATATTCACCACATAAACACAGCAAAATAAATAAATACAAAATTATGCATATACCCACGTATATTATCTTTCCTATATTGTGAGCACAACCGGCTAGCTCATGAGTCTCCAACCTTGGCAACTTTAAAGACTTGTGGACTTCAACTGCAAAGCTGGCCGAGGAATTCTGGGAGTTCAAGTCCACAAGTCTTTAAAGTTGCCAAGGTTGGAGATCCCTGGGCTAGCTTTTCTTTTTCAGGGCTCGACACCGACACCCAACCTAGAGTCAAGAAACCACGTTTTATCTAATCAAGATTTAACACGGTTTCAAGGTGCCTTAAGACAGGGGTCTTCAAACTTGAGAGCTTTAAGACTTGTGGACTTCAACTCCCAGAATTCCTCCTCCAGTCATGTTAGCTCAGGAATTCTGGGAGTTGAAGTCCACAAGTCTTAAAACTTGCCCAGTTTGAAGACCCTTGCCTTAAGAGAAGGACCCTACCATATTTTACCCCCATCTCTTTGGGTTTCCACCTCGAGCTAGGATACCCATGACTCCCGAGCCACCCTCCTTTCCCCTTTCTAACATGGTTGCTTCGTTGTTGGTGGTTTTTTTCGACGAAGGGGGCTCATCCGCTCTTCCTCGACGGGGCGGCTTGGCCCGGGGGGGGGGGGGGGGGGTGGGGGGGGGGGGGGGCCCAAGGCCCGAAGGGAGGCTTGGCCCCTCCAGCCAATCGCGTGACGCGGGGAGGGGGCTATTCGAGGCGCGCGCTCCTCCGGCCACCGCCGCCAGCTGCAGACGGCCGCTGTTCGGGCCGGGCGGAGGCGATCGGAACTGGCGGCTCCTGCCGAGTCGCCGCTCGACAATGCGCCCGGGGCTCCTCGGGGCGCTCCGGCTGCTGCTCCAGCTGCTGTGGTGGCACCTGGACCTCTCGGCGGCCGGCAATCAGGCGGGTAAGTCGTGGCCGTCGTAAGCCGGCTGGGAATCGTGTGGAGTGGCTGGGAGCGAGAGCGGACGGAGAATGAAGAAAGGAGGTCGGTGGGTGAAAGGAGCGTGGGTGACAGCTTGAAGGGGAGGGGGGGTGGGGGGGTGGAAAGCGCTTGGCACGATCTTCTCCAAGCTCTGCTTTTCAGAGGCGCTGCACTACGGACACACAGGAGAATGTCCGCGATGGCACTTGTAGCCACACTGGATGGAAACTGATCAAGGAGAGATTCAACCTGGAAATCAGGAGAAACTTTCTGACAGTGAGAACAATCAGATAACAGATCATCAGAGTTGGAAGGGACCTTGTAGGTCATCTAGTCCAACCCAAGCGGGAGACCCTACAGCATTTCTGGCAAATGGGAGTCCAATCTCTTCTTGAAAGTCTTCAAGTGACGAAGCTCCCACAACTTCTGAGGGCAACTTCTGTTCCATGGGTTCATTGTTCTCACTGTCAGAAAGTTTCTCCTGATTTCCAGGTTAAATCAATCAACCCATGGAACAGAAGTTGCCCTCGGAAGTTTTGGAAGCGCCATCACTTGAGACTTTCAAGAAGAGATTGGACTGCCATTTGTCAGAAATGGTGTAGGGTCTCCCGCTTGGGCGGGGGTGGTAGTGGTGTTGGACTAGATGACCTATAAGGTCCCTTCCAACTCTGATTATCTGTTAAATCTGTGGCCCAGTGCCTCTGGAAAGCATCAGGATAGGGAAGAAAATGCTTCAGAAGTGCGGGGGGGGAGGTATTTCGTACAGGTGGTCCTCGAATTACGACCAGTCAAGCCCCACCTTTCTGTTGTCAAGTGAGACATTTCTAAAAGTGAGCTTTGGCCCCCTTTTACAGCCTTTCTTTTGCCACCGTTGTTAAGTGGATCACTGCAGATGTTAGTAACCTGGTTGTTAAATGAATCAGGCTTCCCCACTGACTTTGATTGTCAGAAAGCCACCAAAGGGGATGCCATGACACTGCAACCGTCATAAATAGGAGTCAGTTGACAAGGATCTTGAATGTCGATCTCGTGACTGTAGGGCTGCTGCAATGGTTGTAAGTGTGGACAATGGTCCTAAGGGACTTTTTTCCCCCCAGTGACGTTGTAGCTTGGAACGGTCACTAAATGAACTGGTGTAAGTTGAGGACTAGTTGTATGAGGCGTCTTCCACATCAGCGGGGTTGACTACGGAGGAAAACTAGGATTCGTGCTAGATCTGGCTTGCACGCTTGTGTTAAGAAGCAGCTTCATTATTGCCCATTGAGTCAATGTCTGGGTTTGTGCCATATACTGTAGACTGAACTCTCACAATTGTCTGCAAACCACAGTGGCCCTGGCCACATGCCAAGTCACAAACCAGTCACTCTTTTGACAAGCACAGCTGAAGGAGCTGAATTGTTAAATTGGTGGTTAAGGCTAGAAGAAATTTTTTAAAAAAAGATGTTGAGGCTCTAGAAAAAGTACAGAGAAGAGCAACCAGGATGATTAGGGGACTGGAGACTAAAACATACGAAGAATGGTTACAGGAACTGGGCATGGCTAGTCTAGTGAAGAGAAGGACAAGGGGAGACATGATAGCAGTCTTCCAATATTTGAGGGGCTGCCACAGAGAGGAGGGGGTCAAGCTCTTTTCTAAAGCAGTGGTCGCCAACCAGTGGGCTGGGGACCATTGGTGGTCCGTCCGCGAGAAAATTTTGGTGGTCACGAGAACATTTTGGTGGTCCACAGAGAAATGTCACCCCCAAAGCAAACCCCAAAGCAATTAATCCAGGCTGCGCGGGAACACAAGGCTGCGCCACCCACATGGTCCATGGGAACACAAGGCTTGCGGTGCTTGCATTGAAAACAACATGTAGTGAGGGGAGGGGGGAAAGGGCAGAGGGAGGGAACCTGCCCCATGCGCCTTGCCTGGCCACCGGGCTGCTTCTTTCCGCTTCTTTCTTCTTCTGCTTTTGGCTGCACGCAAGGAAAGCAGCAAAAGTCTTTCTTTCTCTCCCCCAAACTCCTCCAGAAATGAGTCTTTGGGACCCTGCAAGGCATCCTGCTCCAAGAGGCTGCACCGGCATAACAAGTCTCACAAAGACTCATGTCTGGCAGAGTTTGGGGGAGAGAAAGAAAGACTTCTGCTGCTTCGGCTGCTTTCCTTGCATGAAGCCAAAAGTCTCTCTCTCTCTTTCCCCCTGAGAATGGAGCAGGAGATGGTATCCTGCGATCCCATATAAAGAATAGGAAGGAAAACAGGGTGGGGAATTTCCCTGCAGATTTTTTTTGGAATTTTCCCAGGGTCTCTGGTTTGGTGGTCCCTGAGACCCAAAAGGTTGGCGACCCCTGTTCTAAAGCACCCGAAGGCCAGACAAGGAACAATGGATGGAAACTGAACAAGGAGAGATTCAATCTGGAAATAAGGAGAAACTTTCTACAGTGAGAACAATCAACCCATGGAACAGAAGTTGCCCTCGGAAGTTGTGGGAGCTTCATCACTGGAGGTTTTCTAGAAGAGACTGGACTTCCATCTGTCAGAAATGGTGTGGGGTCTCCTGCTTGGGTAGGGGGTTCGACAAGATGACCTACAAGGTCCCTTCCAACTCTGATTATCTGTTAAACCTAATATTTTAGGTTTCTCTTAGGAGCAATCACTTTAAAGTACATCATAAGTCTTTCTTTTTTCAAAGCTGAATCGACACAAGTAAAGTTTCTCTTGCCCCGGCAGTCACAATTGTCTCTTCTGTGCTGTGACCAACAAGTCAACTCTTTGCTGTTTTGGCTTCTGATTAATTATAAAATGGCCACAATCCGCTAAGATTTATTTAATTCAAAGAGTTGCAATCCTGGGAGAAATGCAGCTGATCCTTTTGCAAAAGGTCACTTGTTCCATGGTAGCATGTTTGCTCATGGAAACAAAATCTAAACAGAATCCTGGTGTGAAATTATGTATGTTTCAAAGGGTTGTGTCAATCACAGGTCAAAAAACCGTGGAAATAATTTCCAGGTTTAACAGGTAGTCCTTGACTTACAACCACAAATGGGACCAGAATTTCCATTGCTGAACAAGGCTGTTTCTAAGTCACACCTGATTTTTACAACCATTTTTGCCAAAGTTAAGCAAAGCATTGCAGTTGCTAAGTGAATCATACAGTCATTAAATGAATCCAGCTTCCTGCATGGACTTTGCTTCTGGGAAGCCGGCTGGGAAGGTTGCAGATGGTGATCACATGACCCCAGGATGCTGCAACCTTTGTCAACTGCCCAAAGTTTGATCGCATGACCATGAGGATGCTGCAAACAGTCACAAGAACATAGACTCATAGGGCTGGAAGGGACCCTTGAGGTCATCTAGTCAAACCCCCTGCTCAAGGCAGGAGACCTTATACCATCTGATCAAATGGTTGCCCAATCTATTTTTGAAAACCTCCAGTGATGGAGCACCCACTACTCTGGGAGGGAAGCTGTTCCACTGATTAATGGTTCTCACTGTCAGAAAATTGTGGGCTGGTCGTAAGTTACCCTATCAGTGCCATTGTAACTCAGAAATATTATTAAACGAGTAGCTGTTAGCTGAGGACTTCTTGTATTGTGTGTTTATATGTGTATGTACAGTGGTGGGATTCAAATTTTTTTACTACTGGTTCTGTGGGTGTGGCTTGGTGGGCATGGCAGGGGAAGGATACTGCAAAATCCCCCTTCCCTCCCCACCCCACTAACCTACTTTCCAGCTCTGTTCTCCTGTGCAGGGCAACCAAAGAAGACCCAGCCGATCAGCTGGGACTTGGGAGGCGGAGAGTAGATGGGGGCGGGGCCAGTCAGAGGTGGGATTTGCCGGTTCTCTGAACTACTCAAAATTTCTGCTACTGGTTCTCAAGAACTGGTCAGAACCTGCTGAATGCCACCTCTGTATATCAGTGGTGGGATTCAAATTTTTTTACTACCTGTTCTGTGGGCGTGGCTTGGTAGGCGTGGCATGACTTGGTGGGCGTGGCAGGGGAAGGATATTGCAAAATCTCTATTCCTTCCACACCGCACTAACCTGCTTTCCAGCTCCGTTCTCCTGTGCAGGGCAACAGAAGCTGGGACTCTAGAGGCAAAAAATAGATGGGGTTGGTGGGGCCAGTCAGAGGTGGTATTTGCCGGTTCTCCGAACTACTCAAAATTTCTGCTACCAGTTCTCCAGAACTGGTCAGAATCTGCTGAATACCACCTCTGTGCATGTATGTTTTAAATATCTTCTTCAGCTTCCTACAATCTGATACAATCTGACTTTTTTGCAGTCCACAACCAAATATGCTAGTTATGCACACTGTTTGAAAAGCATTATTAAACTGTCTGGGTTATACCACATGGTCTACCACCAACAGACTATAATGAAATTTGTAGGTAATACAAACTGGAGAGGTAGCTTAATTCAGTGCTATAGAATTAGCAGCATAAACAATTTGTTCTCTGTATCATTATTTGTACCTGTGTTTTTTCAATAGTACCATAAGCGGAGAGCAACTAATGTTCTAACCATTTAACATTTTATTGAGTTATAAAATAAGATACAAAATACAAAAGTAAATAGGAAAATGGTGGGGAGGAAGAGGGGGAAGAGAAGTGAGGAAGGATACGAAAAAAGGAAAAAGAAACATTGATTTCCAATTCTCTCTGTTGCAGTAAAATAAGGCATTAACATCAAATCACAACTTTTTTTGTTTTTTTCATAATAATATGAAAAAGCCATTTCTATAAAGATCTATCAATCTAATCAGTAAAACCCAGAATCAACGTCAAAGCAATTAATGTTCTAAGACAATGTATTTCAAACTTGGCAGTTTTAAGAGGTGTGGACTTCAACTCCCAGAATTCCCCAGCTGGCATGCTCCCAGAATTCTGGAAGTTGAAGTCCACGCATCTTAAAGTTGCCAAGCTTGAAAAAAAGACTAAACTAAACATAAGTTTATAGAAACGATCAATGTGAATAAAATCCTTCCCGGAAAGAATGTTTATTTCTCATCTTTCTTGTAGATCCAATCAGAAAGATTTTCTACCCCTTCTGGGAACTGCAGCAAATAACTGGCTGGTCACCCCATGATTACATTCATGTGTAGAAATAACAGGAATGGTGGCCTGAAAGGAACTGTCTTCATTAAAAAACAAAACAAAACCTTTGAGGTTTTTAACTCAAGAGAGAAAAGTATTTCCTCTACTCTTGCAACATCTGTTCTAGTTCGTCTTTCCCACATCCTGTTGAAAAATATATTGGCTAGGTTATGTTGGTTAATGTGGCATTGTCTCCCTGTTGAATGAATCTAATAAAGAATAGAGTAGCGGAGCAAAAAAGAATAGTGTCGCATAGCATACCGCAGCATACATAGCATAGAAAATATGAAATGTAATAGAATTAGAATGGAATGGAACAGAACAGAATAGAAAATATCGAATGGAATGGAGTAGAATAGAATAGAATAGAATAGAATAGAATAGAATAGAATAGAATAGAATAGAAAAATAGAATAGAATAGAATAGAATAGAATAGAATAGAATAGAATAGAATAGAATAGAATATATGGAATGGAATGGAATGGAATGGAATAGAATAGAATAGAATAGAATAGAATAGAATAGAATAGAATAGAATAGAATAGAAAATATGGAATGGAGTAGACTAGAATAGGATAGGATAGGATAGGATAGAATAGAATAGAATAGAATAGAATAGAATAGAATAGAATAGAAAATATGGAATGGAGTGGAGTGGAGTGGAGTAGAGTAGAGTAGAGTAGAGTAGAATAGAAAATGAGTGGAGTAGAATAGAATAGAATAGAATAGAATAGAATAGAATAGAATAGAATA